GGGACTGCCGGGCCGGGCCTCCGCGGCAGCCCAGCTGTGAGAAACCTTAGAGGAGAAAGCCGGAGAGAAGGGGAAAGCGGAATCGTGCAGACCCCGAGCCCGCTCCGCGTCCAGCGCGGCACACAAAGCGGCTCAGCCCGGACAGCGCCGGCTCGGCGGGATGTCACAGCCCCTGGGGACGGGCACTCCTGGAAACCTGTGATGAAAGCACGCTGAGGAAGAGGAGAGAAGCTCAGGACCAGGGTAAGGATGGATGGCACTGGGACTGCGTGTGGGATATGGCACGGGGAGGGTCTTGTCACAGGTAGGACCGCGCCAGCTGCAGAGCAGCGAGCCGGCTTGGCCTTTAAAAACTACATAAATGAAATTAAAATATAGCTGTAAAGATAGCCGAGACGTTTCATGATACCAGACAATAAAAATCTACCTTGCCATTATTTTCAAGAATTTAAAAAAAAAAAAAAATCTTAATTCTGCATATAACTTTGGGCTTCATGCTTCCCTGAGCACGCTGAAGCAGCATATGCCTTTTAACAGACTTTCTAGGATGCACTCATTTCTGTAACTTTTCAGAATACTACCTGTATTAAAAACTATGAAATCTGCATTCAGGCTTTCTTACACTTACGTCTGATCAAGGAGATACAATAAAATGTCCTGTATAATAGATATCTATATATAATAGATATTATATATATCTATATATAATAGATATATAAGTATTTGAAAGATGTTGCAAAAAAATCTTTTAGAAAAGAACCTAGCATGTATTAGTACCTTTGTGTAAGCAATTAAATATTTACTGTATGATGTAACTAATATTTTTCATGGGCAAAACGAGTCACATTTATTAAAATGTGAATCTGTTTAAGGGCTATTATGTACAATGTGCATGCACACATATGAACACACACAGTATGAGCACTTTTTACTAGTGACTGGATTAGGTGAAAATAAGGTGAGGCCACTGTTAAGGGAAGTAACAACAAAAGCAGTGCTCTCTCTTTCAATAATTACATTCCACATCTATGACAGAATTTTGGTAAAGCACAAAGAACAATCCACAAACAACATGACTAAAATTCTTGGTAATCCAGAAACAAAATTTGTACTTCTTGTAACCAAAAAGGCTGTATTTTGCCAAAACTTGAAAATAGTTACATGGCAACAAAAGATACATAATCTTTTGAAGTTTCTTGCAGCACTTGACATTATTTCAAAACAAAAGCTCTTCAGAGCTAATTCAGACACTCTCTGAAGTGCTGTTTTAGTTATCTGTTCCCCTAATGAAAAAAAGTATTTCCTTCAAAAAAACAAAAATGAACTAGTGCTTGAACCAAAATGTCACCAGAATTTTAAGTGGACAGAAAAGTACAGAATGCATTATAATAAAAGCACCTACAGCAATCAGTTGGTTTTTGACTTACAATGGAATCAAGTGGCAAAAACATCATTCATCATGTAAGTCTGGAGTTAAAATTTTCAACGTAGCTTTACATCATGTTTTCATAACTGAAACTATGTGCTGTAATGTGTCAACTCTTTCCTATCCCTTATTATATTTACTTTAAAACATCAAACAAAACATTAAAGCTTTTCCTAATACATGTGGCATGCACACTACTGTGCTCTATTTTCACTGTGAATTGGCTGTTTCCTTTTACAAAACTGAAAAAGTGTTCATTTTTTTCACAGCCGTATTCTTCATCTAAAAAATCAAACTACATGAGTTAATTCTAAAAGAAACCCCTCTCCTTAGAAAAGAACAAACATTAATAAATCACACAAAAGATGAAGACTACCTGAAAAATTGCATGGATGGATGAATATAATTCCATATAAAAGAAGCAGTAAAAACAGAGCATGAGCTCTGAGAAAAGGGGCAGGGAATAAGAAAGCAGCTTCAGAAAATTCATGCTTATCTATCTTATCACAATGGTGTTGTGAAATCCAGATCATATTACTGGCCTGGTTCCTGGAACATGCCAACTTACTGTAAGACCACAAACACTGACTGTCAAAGGACTCTGCAGAAGGAAAACTGATGTTTGTAAACATTAACCAAAAAACTGAAACCAAGCCCTCTGATCTTTTTATAGTAGGATTTTACATTTTCGATACCCTTGCACCATTTACTTTTACAAGCCAATTAAAATATTTAACTGCATTAATCTAAAACCCCCTTTTGATATCAGAGACAAAAGCATTAAAGAAACTGAAGATTTATTGCCAGTTTTCAATGTTTCTTCTTTAGAATGAACAATTACCAAACTATGTGTGAATTCACAATCAAATAAAATAGTTTATCTTTCAAGAAATAATGCTGTAATAGCTGACACTGTGACTTTTGTGAACATGCCTTCATTTATGCATCTAAATGCTTGAGGAATCTGCACAAAAGGTTCCACAGCATGTCAAGTATGTGGTAAAAGCCAGCCCATCAGATGACTTCCAGCCTCATTGTATTTATGACCAGCTCACCAGCACTGATTAACCAGCAGAATTGAGTTTTGTAGCAGAGCAGTTTAGCGCGGCAAAGGGAACATCTGCATGGAGGGTCTCACTGCTACTTTGTTCTTCTTAGTCAAAACAATCCACAGGGAAATGACAGAAAGTATCGGTGTTGTGCAAGAAGTGCCTATCTCATCCTTCCTATATGTGTGTTTTTTCATTTATCTGGGCACTTCTGAAAAGTTCTGAAATATCAGTTGTGTTATGGTGCATTCAATCCTGGCAGGTTAGACCTGCACACAACATTAACCATTCAGCCTCTGTACTACAAGCCTTTGAGTCAGAGCAATTTACAAGGATGGGAAGAAATTATGCGTGTTGGACCCTGCCTATGCATTCTTTAATGAAAAGAAAGTCACCTATTACCAAAAAAAGGAGACAAAACCATATACGGAAAAGAATGAAATAACAGAAAGAACACACCCTCCTCCTCACCCCCAAATTCCAGAATTAACTTTCTAAAGGATGTAATACTCTGGGAGCCTTTCAAGGGAGGCTGACTGAAAATGACAAAATAGGAGCAGTCTGTTGTAAAAACAACAGTTGTTATCCCAAAGATAAAATTACTTAAATGGTGAATCCGGTTTTGACAGCTTACTGAGCACTTCTACTTAAGAAATCACAGAGGAAACCTCTCCTTCACCTTCTTTATAATTATCAGAACTGAAGCCCAATAAACTATAATCTCCTCCTCAATTCCTGAGCTGCGACATAGAAGCCACTAAAAATCTATTTTAACTCTTTGAAGTGAGAATTGCTGCTATCTTTCATCATGTATCAGGTTGATGTACTAGCTCCTAAAACCAAATTGCTAGTGTTTTTTCTTAATTACATTATCTGCAATAAATTCAGCTACTGAAGTCCCCAGAAATCCTCATGTGTAATATCCTAGGTTTAGCACAGAAAATTACCTTCTCTGCAAGCCAGTCTTCAAGAGTAGACACAGTGCCACAAATCTCTTGTACAAAAGCTGCATTTATATGGCAACACACTTTCATAGATACAGTTCTCTGGCTTAATAACAGTTTATATAGAAAAACAAAAGCAGCAGCAGGAAGCAATTCCACTGCTTTCACCTACTGGGTTCTTTTATGTTTCTAGTCTGTCAGAGGAACCTGTACCAATGCTATTTAAATTAAAAAAACAAAACCCAAACATACTCTGGTATGAAATCTAGGCAATTTTCCACATTTGTTTTAGTTACCGTTTCCCAAAGATCATTATTTTACTTTTGTATTTCTTCAAAATGCTATAGTGGTAGTCACGTCTTCCTTAAATGTCAAAACATTTCTTCCCTGAACTGAGGTGTAATCCTAAGTAAACCGTAACAACATTCAGTGCTCAGCCACCACCCCATGCTCTTCTGTGGTGTCAGCTCTTTTTTTTTTTTCAGAGTGCTGAAGAGTGCAGGTGTAAAAAGGACAGTATAAACTCCCAGAGACAAGAAACCAATATCTCAATGGTTCAAAGACTCAACAATGCAAAACCACTTTAGATGTAGATGCAACAGTGCTGACAACATATACTCAGGCCTTCAAAAACAACATTCTTTCCAGAGGAATTTTACAAACAACTTTAATGCAACAAAAAACAGCCATGGCACTGAAAGGCTACTGGTAGCATTTTCAAATAAGCTTAATGACACTTTTATTATGTTACTGCAAGTCATACTTATGTGATGGAAACATACCTTTTTTCTCTTTGTACACAAAAATGCCAAGGATAGGTAAAGTATTCCATAAAACCTGAAAAAGACAGTTAACCGGTCTCTTTTTTAAAAATTAGGTCCTCTGAAGCACAGCATCAGAACCAATATATATATATTTTTCTGTATATCTTGGAATATATAATAATGAAATGTGTATTTTGTTATAAGCAGCTTAAAAAAAAAAGGCACTAGCCATGAGACTGCTACCTTCAATGCTTTCTTATAAGGTAAGCTAATTTTAAAAAGAAGTGAACATTTGCTAAACAGCAATGTTTTGCACATAAAAATATTGATACCTTTATCATTTTAGGATCATGACAGTGATTAAGCCATAGAATGTAAAATACCTGTATAATTTTAGATGGTAAAATATTCAAATCTTTTTGAAATACCACATATAAATGTAAAGATATTCATAATAATCAGAAGGTAATATATTTTGAGTTACAAACTCCCTTATAAGCATAACAGAGTACAGAACAGAAAAATATTCCAAGGCAAAGCCACTGAAAGCTTTTATTTACTTTTTCCCTTTAAGAGACAGGAAAAAAACAATTAAATGCTGAAACATGTGATATCCTCTCTTTTTTCACCAGATCATGAGAACGTCCTCAGTTGGGCAAACAATGAATGAGCAAACAAACCAACTTACTATTACCTACTTCCTACAGTTATATACACAGATAGGCCAGCATCTGGACTACAAACTGAAATTTTAACCAAAGCACTTATGCTGGCTCTAGAAGCATGAAAATTATTATTATTATAACCCACACAATGCTGCCAAGTCTTCACACAGATGTAGTTATACTGGCAAAAGACAAGCAAAAAAAAAAATAGTGTCACGCCCGAGTAAAGTAATTTATACTGCCAAGTAGGGTAAACATACACAAAATTGGTTCTAGGTGCATCCATGAGAAGTGCTTTTATCAGTGCACAAACCTCGAACAGCCAGAATCTAGAAATTAAATTAAACTTCCATAGTTTTTTTAAGCAGAAGTTCTATTTGATTTTCATTAAAATCACGCATCTTTCCTTTTAAACATGCTTCTTTCACTTCTCTCATTTTTTGTTTGTATACTTGCTTGTTGTAGTTTTGTCAATGTGCATGATGATAAAAAGACAGACATGCCATATTTCCAGTAACTAAGAAATTTTACACCAAACCTGCAAGCATATTTTTAAATAATGTAATCTTGTGCAATGGAGAGGTTTAAAAGTCTACAGCTCTGTAAGTTGAATTTTGCAGTGGTGACAGATATGGCCCCAGTGGTTCCCTCCCAGTTCACTGCAGTAGAGCTACTGGGAGAGGGAGAGAAGAAGAGGGGGTCTGAGCCAGAGAAACAGGAAGAATGATCAGCAAGCAACAGCACTAGTTAAGTAGAGTACAAGCAATTCCTTGGCAAAAGTGCAGAAGAAGAAAACTGAAATCTAGTGTGCTAGACATCAAATAAGGACCTTCCTCTCCCCTGGGAAGGAATTCTCATGGTCTAAGAACCTGATGTACTCCTACTCAAAAGGCTGAGAAAAAGATACTAAAAATAATTAAATTATTCCTTAAAATTGGCCCTCTGCCTTCCCTCCCCAATTTCTCCACCAAGATTTTTCTTTTTACCCTAAAAGATTAATCAAGAGTTGTTGAAACAAGCATGTTGGTTATGAACTTCATTTGAATTCAACTGCAGAAGAGAAGAAATGCCATTTCTTTCATAGCCCATCACAACATGCAACAAATAGCCCTCATTCTGAACACCTGTTTTTTTTATCTGATCAAATACAGACAATAAAAGACTTAAGAGATCACTTCATAAACAGACTGCAAGAAGGACATCCGAAGACAGTGGGGTTCTTGTTTCTATTGGTACAGGAGCCTTCCCTTCCCAATACACTTTTCCTTTCAATGTTTTTTCTTATAGGAAGTAAACCTTAGAAAAGGTGACATGCAGGCAAGACGATGAGCAAGAAGCACTTCAGCACGGTCTTATCATGCTGATGTCATTCATTGATGGCTGCCCTTCTGTGATCAGACACTGGGACAGGCTTCCTAGAGGTGGTTAATGCCCCAAGTCTGTCAGCATTTAAGTGGCATATGGACAATGCCCTTAATTCCATGCTCTAACTTGGTCAGCCCTGATTAGGTCACAGTTGGACTAGATGATTGTAGTTCCCTTGCAACCAAAACAGCCTGTTCCATTATATTTTGAAAGATGTTTGAATTGATATGTTAAGATGAGGCTGATAAACTCTGTTCCATTTTTTTCTTAAGCACTTCTTAAAAACAATGTGAGAAAAATCAAACTGTTGTATGTTGCTCTGCATTTCTTCAGCCTGGAAAAGAATGTGCACCCCAAATCTTGGGCTCAATTAAGGACATGAGATGCTGTAACAAAGACAGAAATGAACTCTGAAAAAAGTTAGTTTCTTTTCAGTGGACACAATAATTACAGTTTTTGAGAGGAAAACACTGTATTAATTCAAACAAAAATAAAACCCCTTTTACACCTATATGCAAGATAAATTTGCAAAAACAGTCCATCTGTGCAGAAATATGAGGCCTGGAAAACTGCCACGGTTTCCAAGTGTGACCTGCTGTGCAAATGCTGATTATGCAAGTTAAAGCTGTTCCCTGTTTTCCAGAATTGCAAATAACATTCCTTTACTTACAGAAACCATGTTAAACTCTGAACACTTATCTGACAGATTTTCAAGATTCTTGACAGATGTTGTAAAGCACAATTCCTTTCTGTTTGCAAACTGAAAACGAGTTTATTCCAATTAAGTAACTGAAGCAAAAATGTACCTCCAAAAACTTTAAAAAACATCAATTCCTGGTTACTTTTGTTGAAGCACGTACAGAAGCATTTACAGAAACTTCTATGATTTATTTCAAAACAACAGAAAAATGTAAGTGACTGACAACTATATCTCTTCTCAGTATGAATAATTATTTAAGCATGCATATGCATAATTACCTTGAACCTCAAAAAATGTCTTAGAAGTCAGCAGCTGCATAGAAAGACAGAACTATTCAGACTGGATGGGACCTCACCTTTGTCTCACAAAGAAAGGCAAATTTCAACATTAGATCAGGTTCATATTGTGAAGATGCTTTTTTTCTAAAATCCAAAGTGAATTTTCCTGTGGCAATTTGTATCCACTGACCATTACACTTTCACTGTGCACTTCCAAGAATAATCCCATCTTCTCTGCAAAGACCCCATTAAGCAGCTGATGATAGCAGGAAGATGTCTCCTTCACCTTCTCTTTCTGGAGGCCAAACAAACCTAACTCTGCTGCTGCTCATGCATCACATCTGCCAGCCTCTAGCTCTCCATGTTGGTAGTGCTCAGCTGGACGCATTCCAACTTACTTAAAACATTTAATTGTACTAAAGATGACTATGCAGTAAGGTGATAGTTATTTAAACACTGAATGGTTATTCCATGTGCAATGTTTTACAAGCACAGAAAAATATTATGGTAACACCATCTTGGTTTTAAAAAGTATCAGGTAGGCCTCATACACTAAAAAACCTCCATATTGTATTTTTTCTCGTCACATTATTTAAGAAAACCAGGCTATATACCTATTAAAATTCAACAAGAAAAGCTGTTAGAAATGCACAATACCAAAGTGCTGTTCAAGCAGCTGGTAAGAGAGAAACTTGTGTCAAGGGCCTTCCTGGCAGCAGTGACAACACTAAGCTCATGTTTCCAAGACAACTGTGGCCTGCAAAGCTCTGGTATTATTTTTTAAAGAGATGGTGATGGCCTCAAATTTCCACCTTGAATATGAACCTGCTATGACGATTCAGTGTAATTTCACCAGAAGTGTGCTGTTGCACTATGCGTCTAAACACTACTAGTTAATTTTCAAAGTTGAGGGTCATTCTGTCCACCATGCACACATGCTTACCCTTCTGAGGAGACATGGCAGTGAAATGACCAGACTGAGTGTAAAGACAATGTCTTCAGTGAGTCACCATAAATAGTTTAGATGTGTATCTACTAGTCTGGAAAAACAACAGAATTTACTGCCTATGACACTCGGGCAGTAGAATTTTTAATTATAATTATTAAGGACTAATGTAGAGTAAGTTTTTTCCTTTTTTTTGTTTAAATATAAGGTTCAATACTGCTCACTGAAGTGAAATTGTTACAATTCATCTAAGATGTATGTCCTGTAATATACATGCAGTTATAAAAAACTACAGTTGTGCTATTCAATATTTTTAGAACTTCTAAGAGCACATATTAACTTACATTTTGTTTACATTTAGAGGTTATATTTGTAACTGTAAGAAATGAAAATGTCATTCATATTTAAATGAAAACACCAAACTTGGAAACTTTAGTGGCACTTGCCTGGAATAAAGGACTCTTAAATCCTGGTATTTATTTCTTAATTTCTTGTGGTTCTTGGCAGGCTTTTGATAAACTAGCAACTAGAAACTACAGCTCTGGCCATAGAATGATACAGCTATGCCCAGTGATGTGCCCTTTAGCCAACCTAAGCTCATGCTAGACAAGAAAAGACATACTAATCACTATTAAATATTTTCTGCATTTTTTAACAGATTATCCATTGTAAGTCTGCATTGATTTCCTATTTGTTACTTACTGTTATATTTATTTTAAAACAGATTTTTAAAAGTTCTTTCCAGAAGAATACTTGACCAGAACTAGAGGATCATGATGACAACAAGATTCCTCTGCCTACTGCTAATAGCTGTTACAGGAGCTACTGCAAGCAAGACACAGGAATTTGAAGCCAATGACGAGGAAACAGAACAAGAATTCATCTACATGAACAGATATAGGCGTTCCAGTGACAGCCAGGATAAATGCACTTACACCTTTATTGTACCTCAACAGCGAGTGACAGGTGCCATTTGTGTTAATTCTAAGGAGCCTGAAGTCCTACTTGAAAACAGGGTAAATAAACAAGAATTACAGTTACTTAACAATGAACTTCTTAAACAAAAGAGACAAATAGAAACTCTGCAGCAACTGGTAGAGGTGGATGGTGGGATTGTTAATGAGGTTAAACTCTTAAGAAAAGAGAGCAGAAATATGAATTCTCGTGTCACACAACTCTATATGCAGCTACTACATGAAATTATCCGAAAACGTGACAATGCCTTAGAACTTTCTCAGCTTGAGAACAAGATTTTGAACCAAACTGCAGATATGTTGCAGCTTGCAAACAAATACAAGGACTTAGAGCACAAATACCAACATTTGATGTCAATTGCCAATAATCAGTCAATAATAATTGCCCAACTTGAAGAACACTGTCAAAGAATGCCACCCATAAAACCACTGCCACAAACTCCACAGCCACCAAACAAAGTGTACCAGCCTCCTACTTACAATCGTATTATTAACCAGATCTCTACTAATGAAATTCAGAGTGACCAGAACTTAAAGGTTCTGCCACCTACCTTACCAACCATGCCTGCGGTTACTAGTATTCCAACTTCAACTGATAAACCATCTGGTAAGTAATATTATTTATACCCATACATTAGTTTATACTAATATGCAGAGAGCAACATTTTAATTTTTAATTATAGTATCCAACATGCAGACATTATTTAATTAGCAAAATAAATGCAAATTATTTTGAACTAATTGAGATTTCTTAGATCTGATGTCTGTGGTATCTACCTTGCATAATTTTATATTTAAATGTTGTAGTACAAACACAGAAAGAAAGCAAAAAAAATAATTCTGAATGTCTAACAGATTCACATCCTAGCCCCACAGAGTTTGCTCATGTTACTTTGCCAAGACAAATACACCATTTATATGAGATGTATGAGTTAAAGGAGCTGCAGAAATATCTTAATAATCAACAGTCAATCATGTATATTTTCTTTACTTGTGCCCAAGACCAAACTGCTATAAATCATGGCAACCTGAAGCGTTTTACACTTTTTGTGTAAGCATTTATGAAGGTTTTGCAAGTCTGTTGATCTAGCATGTGATAATTTTTGGTGCTTTTGTAACTCAAAAAGGAATATGTATTTACTCTGTACCCCATGCAGAGCACTCGGGCTCTAAGACAGCAGCAAAGGGAACCAAGTGGTGGAACTGTAAGAGATATTAGACTGTTACTGAGGACTGTGTAAAGAGTTCTGCCATAAGCAAGTTAGAAACATCTTAAATCACATTACAGATCATTTGATCTACATGATAAAGAAAACAAGGGACCCACAGACATCTGAAACTTACACTTGAAAGAGAATAAGGCACATGAACTGCACTCAGACTGTATTTCAAGGCCATCTGCAACATATTCCATATGAAATAATCAAATAAAAATTAGGAGAAAATTAGGTCTATTGCAATTTCTTAGGAACAATACGTTACAGGATGGCCTCTTTAATAATTACATATTGACTCTGATCTCAAAGTACAGTCAAGCTTAGTACAGTATTTCCCTATCTTTGGGCAAGTGTAATATTTTTAAAGTGTTCTTTTAAGACCTTTCTCCTCCCTGGTACACTCTTCTGAAAACTCATTAATTGGTTCACACCCCCCTTGTACTTTTAAGTACCGAAACTGGAGCTGAGGCTTCACCATTGCACAGCAGAATAAAAGTAACCCCAAGTGCACTGTACTTCTGTTAATCTACCCAGTTACAGCATTTTTGTTTTTGCAAAGTCAAGCACTGACTCATGACCAACCTGCAACATTGCAGAATGCCTAAATCTTTGTCTGAAGAAGTGCTACTTATCCAGCTATTTTTCATGTTCATCTCCAGAGATCCCTTCCAAAGTCCGTGACCATAAGATAAGATTTGATAACTGCTACTTTTCCCTTATCTACATAATTTATCAGAAAAAGAAGTTTAATGTTTCTTCTGCACAAATCTATTCTAATATTATTCCTCTCCTTATTTTCTCATTTGCAGCAGTTTGATTTGTTCAAGCAACTTTCCAACAACTGAAGCTAAGCTATTTAACCTTTCATTTCCAGGGTACCCTCCTCCCCTCTCCCCACCTTTCTTTTTAGGCAAGGAAGGAACACTTTAATACCTTTTCCTCATCCTCGAGAACATTCCTCACTCACAATGCACATCTCAAACAAAATCCCTCCCCACAGTGAATGCTGTAAATGATGCTTCAGCCAGGTGTCTGGAATGAACTAGGAAAAACCCACAAAGCCACACACCTCCCAACCCCCATAACTCACAATCTACAAGCCACATACCCCATAAAACTCACTGCTCACAACTGCCCAGCCACTGGGCTTTTGTCAAAGCACCTCAGTGTAGTAATCATCATAGACAACCTGTGCAATGAAAACTGAAACAAAAATGGAAGAAAAATATTAAATGCCTTCTCAATTTAATCTGTTGATAGCTGTCCTTCCTCTCAAAGGCAAATATTGTCACTTGACTAGAGACTTTCTGCAGCCTTACTATTCTCAATAGTTTTATTTTATTCTGCACATTTTGTCCACACTGTTGTTGATTTGTTAAACAAACAAAACCTACAAACAACCAGCTAGCATCTACTTTGAGCTTTCTTCATTTTTTTCAAAGCCAATGGAAGGGTCCTGATTTAGCCAGGTCAGTTTCTTACCATTTTTCCCCAGCCACGTTCTACAACAGTAAAATCCATTGCAATGTCCTCAGACTTTTTAAGAAACCTGTAAACCGTTCACTTGGACTAACTGTTTAAAGCATTTCCCTCTGCACACTCTAAATTTACTAAGTCTGTTATATTCAAATTCATTTTCTCTGCTTTACTTTTCACTTTCCTTTCTTGAGAACTGTGGCCTGCATGACTGCACAATGGAGATGAGAACAATCAGGAGGATGGAACACTCTCCTATGAGGAAAGGCTGAAAGTTGGGGTTGTTCAGCCTGGAGAAGAGAAGGCTCTGGGGAGACATCACTGCAGCCTTTCAGTCCTTAAAGGGGGCCTATAAGAAGGGTGGGGACAGACTTTTTAATAGGGCCTGCAGTGACAGGACAGGGGGTGATGGTTTCAAACTAAAAGAGGGCAAATTCAGAATAGACAGAAGGAAGACTTTTTTTATGCTGAAGGTGGCGAAACACTGGCACGGGTCTCCAGGTGGTAGAAGCTCCATCCCTAGAAACTCTCAAGGTCAGGTTGGACGGGGCTCTGAGCAACCTGATCTGGCTGAAGATGCCCCTGCTGACTGCAGGGGGCTTGGAGGAGATGGCCTTTAAAGGTCCCTTCCAACCCAAAGCATCTGATGATTCTATGATAATCCTAGCCACTCCCCTCCTTTTTTGTTTTCATTACACATTAACAAAAAAAATTAGACAATATTTTATTTCAACTTAATTGTTCAAGTTAAGGTCAAGAAATGGAATACTGTTAGAGACATTTTTTAAGAAACCAAACAGAATTAGTGAAAGACAGAAGTAGAAGACAGAAATTAAGGAGCTGCAAGACAAAAAGACAGAGTTGAGAACAGTAATCATGTGGTTAGGGTTAGCAAAATTACAGACACAATTAAAAAAACTTATTTGACATTCTTCAACTTGGCACAGATGGGTGCAAGTCCAAAGCAATATAATAAATCTCATACAATCAGATATGAAAATATAATCTGGTCTTTATGTAACATAAACGTGTGGTCTCTTCATTATACAGCTGTGCCTCTATCCTATGCATCCACTACTAAGGGGAGTATTTTTGTACTTCTTCCAACCCAAACCATTATACAACGATAGTTTTGATAAAATCACTTCTAGGGAGTCAAGCAGAACTTTGAGGAGTGCACCTCTGTAATCTGAACAGTGTCCATCCGCTATCACAAACACGTTTAACTATCTATATGAAAGTCAGGATGCTGTCACGTTTTCAAGGAAAGATAAGATGATCCTTGCTTGTAATGCAAGCTAATACTTCAGAAGGAGGGTTTACATTTTATTATTATAAAAACACTAATTACCAGACAGAGCTAATAAAAGAACTGTCCTTCTATCCCCAGCAGCAGCACATATGCTATAGAGGAAGTTTACATAATTGCTGCCCAATTTTTTTTCAAAAGAAGGGCAATATGGGTTAATGCTGGACAACCAATAATATAACTGGCCCAATCACATTTACCTCAGTCAAAAACCAGGAATCTGAATTGGTGAGGCTAATAATGGCTACAGAAATAACTTCAACAAACTCTGAGAGTTCTACACAAATCACTTTATAAGTTCTCAACATCTTTCTACATGTGTATTTTTGAAGCAACCTACATCATAAGTTACTGTAATTTAAAATTTTCAGAGCAGCGACCCTTTAGGTGATGGCTTTTTACAGTACTAGGATACTGGACCCTGATGCCTACACTCAGAGGAAGGTGCTTCAGAACAGAACACTATTGTCCCTATGATCTAAAACAAGACAGCCATTTAGGAGTATTTCTTTGGCACATCTGAAGTGTGTCTCCCCACCTGCTCTTATGGATTCACTGTGTAGTGTGATTTAAAATTTACAACCAAGTGTTTTCTCCATATTCACAAAGATAAGCCAAAACAGCTAGCCAATAACAAAAACCACTGTGCCAGATTTGAGAGGCAAAGCATAGATCAGCACCTTGTTAAAAAAGTATTACACATATTTGAAGCATTAGATATTTAAACGGAGACACAGTCTGTTGTTTCTAAGAGAAAAGCTGGTGACATTGGGAATGAATCATAAAACCCTGATGTAAATTAAAGAACCTCAGTCTCCTAGTAAGAAGAAATAGAAAGCATGCATTGTAAAATGTCAACATCATAATTGGATATAAAGTAATTTTAGAAATACACACTTTATAATAGACTAATTAATATCTCTGCAAGGTATTGGTATTGATTCTGCACAGAAGTGTTTTCAATTTTATCCATAAATAATTTACTTCAAAAATTTATTTGTGGATTTTTGTTTCCCACTCATAACCAAAAGAGTAAGATGGGTAAGTTTGTCTGCAAAAGACTGAACATGTACTGATCATGAACATGTTGATCAAGTATGAGTTTGGTGATCAGGTAGTGAGGTGGATCAGGAACTGGTTGAAAGGAAGGAGTCAGAGAGTTGTAGTCAATGGGGAAGAATCTGGTTGGAGGTGTGTGACTAGTGGAGTCCCTCAGGGGTCGGTACTGGGACCGGTGTTGTTCAACATCTTCATCAACGACCTGGATGAGGGTATAGAATGTACCCTCAGCAAGTTTGCTGATGACACTAAGCTGGGAGGAGTGGCTGACACACCAGAAGGCTGTGCTGCCATTCAGAGAGACTTAGGCTGGAGAGTTGGGCAGGGAGAAACATGATGAAATTCAACAAGGGGAAGTGTAGAGTTTTGCATCTGGGGAAGAATAACACCATGTCCCAGTACAGGTTGGGGCTGAACTGCTGGAGAGTAGTGTAGGTGAAAGAGACCTGGGGGTCCTGGTAGACAGGAGGATGACCATGAGCCAGCAATGTGCCCTTGTGGCCAAGAAGGCCAATGGCATCCTGGGGTGCATTAGAAAGGGTGTGGATAGTAGGTCAAGAGAGGTTCTCCTCCCCCTCTATTCTGCATTGGTGAGGCCACATCTGGAGTATTGTGTCCAGTTCTGGGCCCCTCGGTTCAAGAAGGACAGGGAACTGCTTGAAAGAGTCCAGCGCAGAGCTACAAAGATGATGAAGGGAGTGGAACATCTCCCTTATGAAGAAAGGCTTAGGGAGCTGGGTCTCTTTAGCTTGGAGAAAAGGAGACTGAGGGGTGACCTCATCAATGTTTACAAATATGTAAGGGGTGAGTGTCAGGGGGACGGAGTTAGGCTTTTCTCAGTGATGACCAGTGATAGGACAAGGGGTAATGGGTGTAAATTGGAGCATAGGAGGTTCAAGGTGAATATCCGAAAAAATTTTTTTACTGTAAGAGTGACAGAGCCCTGGGACAGGCTGCCCAGGGAGGTTGTGGAGTCTCCCTCACTGGAGACATTCAAAACCCGCCTGGATGCGTTCCTGTGTGATGTACTCTAGGTGACCCTGCTCTGGCAGGGGGGTTGGACTAGATGATCTTTCGAGGTCCCTTCCAGCCCCTAAGATTCTATGATTCTATGATTAACAATGAAATTCTACAGAAAAACATTTAAAAAATAAATAAATCAGTAAATAGCCACTAAGTCACCTCATATCCATACCAGAGACTGTTCAAAATAATTACGATTGTATGTTACCCCGTTCTACAAAGCAACATAAGAATTCCAGGTAAGATTCTTATAGTCCTACTGAAGAACACTGCTCCTTAGACTTGACTGAAGAAGCTCAAAGCCCAACAGGAGACTTCAAGATGAAACAGATTTGCTGTGACAGCAACAACTCCTTTCCCCAAGTTATTATTACACAGAGGTTTGGGGTGGGACATAGGGCAATAACACACCAAAGCCCAACAATTCTGCATTCGTTAATGCTTAACAACTACAAGCTTCAATATGCCAATGCAAAAAGCAGATGTGTTTTATCTGCAATGGGTTTTAGTTTATAACATCAAGAAGTTTAGCCCACAGGGTCAGTAATTCAAGTAGCTCTGAAACAATTCATGGCAGTGTAGAGTTCCACATACAACAGGACAAATGCTATTATGTGAAGCACTGCTACATTTTATGCATGGAACAGAGTTACATTAATAGCTTCTCTCACACTGAAGTGTTGGTAGAAGAGGTTTTAAGTTTGTTTCTGACCCCAAAAAATAAATAAATAAATAAATCACCTGTCATGGAAAAGTAGTACCAGACTCTGCTTTGAAGAATTTATAGTAGTTTATCTTCATCTTAAAGCACTTACAGGGAAAAGAATCATAAAGTAGAGCACTGTTGCCAAGTTGTCTAGAAAGAAACTGCAAATACTGTATCATATACTACTATACATTTATTTTTATGAAGACAAGATCAATGATCTGTGGTTGATGATTTTAGGAGTTCCTTCAATAATTACTTAGAATCTACATGTTCTTTGTTTTTCGTAAGTGCCACTACAGACACATTGTGATAAAACAAAAAAGAGCAATTTAAATTAACAGCATTCATTACATTTGTGTTCTTCCACCTCTCATAATAAGCCATGCACCTGTGTCACAGAATACTGCATCTGCATTGCCAGAAATCTAAACAGTTAGCCACAACAAAAATAGAGAGAGGGTGCAGAAGCAGCACCCTAGGTACAGTCGGTAAATATGACAAAGTAAACAAGAACAACACAGTGTAGCCACAAACCAAAAATTTGGATTGCCTCCTGGTACACTGACTTTTATAAACTAGTGTAAAAGGCAAAAAAAAAAACCCATAACCTCCTGAGACACTGAGGTTGCTTCTATAAAACGAATGTATTAGTAACTTGTTTACTGAGTACAAGGATTGCCCCAGCATCACCAGTGTTAGTCAGTGATTTATGAAAAAGGGTAAATGAAATAATTACTCTTGATAGCAACATATGCTTCAGTAAGACTCCTCATGGGAATATGTGACAAACCTTCCACCTGCTCTGTGTATGTGTGCAAATCAGTCACGGGTCTTTAATCCTAAGGATTCTTGTTGACTTCTCTCTTCTACTTGGGCAACATGAGGGCAGCAGTAAAGCAGCTGGGGGAGTTAATCTGTAGATACCAACATAGACTCCCGACTGAGTTGTATCTAGGTTTCTCAGACTTGTTAAAATTAAATCTAGCTATCTTCCCACTGGAGAAAATTTATTTAAGAATCATGAATGAAAGATACTTTCAAAAAGAGTAAGATTTTTATGGATTCTATTAAACTCAAGAAAAAAAATACGTTCTACTTCTGAAAATAGGACAGCATTATCTGTAATTTCTGTGAATGCAGAGTATTTTAGAAGTTTTCTCATTCATCTATGATTTCTCTCCCTATGTAAGTGAGCACTCTGTATTACAAATCTGAATTTCTATTTTGTGTTATCATTTATTAAGGTGACAGCAGCAACACCTACATTCTTAATTTATATAACTGGTTCCATTGTTAATCCCTGTGCTAATGGCATTTTTGGGGATCTAAAAAGGTGAATTTCTCAAAGACAGAAACAAAGTTGAACTTATCAATTTGTTTTTCTAAAGGAAACTATTAATACTTAACGATGTGGTCATAGTACAACCAAAATATTAAGTGCAGTTGCCTTAAATACTTTTTTTTTTTAAAAATCTACCTTTATCAGTAATTCATTGTGAAATATCCAGAAATAAAGTTACAAGAGATTAATCTGTTTGAAAACACTTAGTGGATGCTGTACCTTTAATGAAGAAAAAAACCCACACACTACTCAGCAGAAGCAAATCTACTGTAAAAAGCTACCTGATTCAAATATTGCCCTTCATTAAAGATATATTTAATTGCATTTTGATGCAGAGTCCTTCTGTTTTGACACAGGACCCTGGAGAGACTGTCTACAAGCACTAGAAGATGGCCACGATACAAGCTCCATCTACCTTGTGAAACCAGAAAACACAAACCGGCTCATGCAGGTCTGGTGTGATCAGCGGCACGACCCTGGCGGCTGGACAGTCATCCAGAGGCGGCTGGATGGGTCTGTCAACTTCTTCAGGAACTGGGAGACATACAAGGTTAGGACAAGTGAGCAGTTTAATGTTTTCTACCCTCTAAAAATTATTAGTAAAGTTAAAGGATGATCTGGCCAAGAACACACTTCAAAAGGAACTTGTGTGTTTACCCTTCCAGAAGAGGAAGTATCTAGAAAATAAGCTCCTGTGGTTTTCTACCTCAGAACACACTCAAATTTACCACTAAACAATGCACAGTATTAACATGTTTCTCCTACTTCATTTACAGCAAGGATTTGGTAATATTGATGGAGAATACTGGCTTGGATTAGAAAATATCTATTGGTTAACAAATCAAGGCAACTACAAGCTGCTTATAACAATGGAGGATTGGTCAGGAAGAAAAGTATTTGCTGAGTACGCCAGCTTCAGACTGGAGCCAGAGAGTGAACACTACAAGTTGAGACTGGGGCGCTACAATGGCAACGCGGGAGATTCCTTCACTTGGCACAATGGCAAACAGTTCACCACGCTGGACAGGGACCATGATGTGTACACAGGTACGAGCCCTTGCCACCGCCTTGCCTTTTTTTACCCTTCCCTCCCAAAAAATTATTTTGTGCTTTGCTTGCTGTCAGATTTTTCATTTGCTCCTATGACTGAATCAGAGCTTCCTCTTGCAGGCAATTGTGCCCACTACCAGAAGGGAGGATGGTGGTACAACGCATGTGCCCACTCAAATCTCAACGGTGTCTGGTACCGTGGAGGACACTACCGCAGCCGCTACCAGGACGGTGTTTACTGGGCTGAGTTCCGGGGGGGATCATATTCACTAAAGAAAGTTGTGATGATGATAAGACCAAACCCCAACACATTCCACTGAAATATTGCTTCCTCAGATTGGTTTCTTGTTCTAACAAAAAAAATAACATAAAGCTATGATGTTATTACCTGGAAATTATCTTCTAAAAAATCAGGAATGTAAGATATTGTACATTTATCACTAAAATGTAAGGGCTTGTATATTGTATTTTCAAGAATCATTCCAGGAAAATTAAGGAACTGAAATGACACAACATCTAGAACACCTCTTGGTACTTAAAGTAGTTCTGTTAAGCCCCCTAGAACTGGCAGTTTATATGGACTGTAGATAAACTTTCTGATTTTTATTCCCTGTAAATTAAGTTTGGATGGTAAAAACACTGCCACAACATTTAAATATTTTTGTATGTTATATTATGTATAAATATTCTCAAATACAGGAAATATTACAAACTGTACAGCAAGAGTTTTATTATTATTATTATTATTATTATGAGCAATTATTTGACACAGGAAATCATATCCTTTGAACTGTGTAGCTGGTATATGTACATTAGTGTGATTATTCTAATTTAATCTTTGTTAACTGCCATTAATAAAGTTAGTATTACATAATTGACTTTGAGAGCAGATACTGAAACCATTAAATGATAAATCTAATCTTTCCCCTTCACTTTGAGCATTTTAATAATGTGCTCCAATAAATCAGAATTCACATTTGATTCAAGTATTTTAGATTAAAAACACTAACGATTTTTCTTACAAAAATGAAACAGATATCTGCATAAGGAAATTAATCCAGTTTCACAACAGATACAATGTGATGTATAGCCAACATGTTATACTACACAACAACTGTCACAGTATTTTATACCTGACTTCAGTCATAATCTGCTGTGTAGCCTCTGTAATCAGAACTGGCTGGATATAAATTAAAAGGACTATCCAAATTTGCAGGCAAATGATGGATACCAACATATAAGCTATTTACTATACTTAGCCAGTAGATGAAAATTATATAAAGATGTTACCTGTAGCCAAGAGAAGTTATATTTACCATATTTCACAATTATAACTTAGTACTGTAAATTATTAAACAGATTTACTTATCTGTATTTAGAGGTCGGTTACAACTATGAAATACAGACTACGATATTCTGAAGTGGGTTTCTAGAACAGATTGTTGTAACACCCATTTCAAAACAGCAACAGCTATGAAAAAAGTAAGTTAAAAGAATGCATATGAAGCAGAGGAAAAGCCTCTAGAAGTTCAATATATTTTTCAGTAAAATAAGCCTGTAAGATACTTACTGTGCATTTGTGTGCATGTGCTTGCACACTTTATCTCTTATTACCTCATCACTTCTTTACAATGGTATGATGTACATTAAACTGACATGTCATGTAGCATGTGTTGTATATAACTGAAAGTAGGGGTTTTAATATATTAGAATAGTCCTGTAATACTGTAAACCTTTAATAAAGCAACAAGTGTTATTTTGACATGTTCAGATTTCATCCTGTTTTAGTTCAGATTACTCACAGAAAAGAAGAGACAGTTACTTAACTTCACACCACTGCCTCATGACTCAAATCAATTCAAATTAACATGTGTGAAGTGTATAAATATTGCAACATCAAAAGCACAGCAATTTGCAGCTGAGAAAAGTACTAAATTTCCACACATCCCAAGGAGGAAGAATTTTTTTGTAAGTCCTGTGAAAACCCAAACATTTTGAAACACTATTCACATTTTATCTTCCACTGGTTTATTTAGTGGACTCCGGAAAACAATTAAGTTTTAGGAGAAAATACTAAATGCATCTACTGGCTTTGCAGCCTGTCCATAGTGCTCTAAGAATTAGAACTGTAGCATTGAGGCAGTAAAACTCCTGCTGACATCTACACCTAACCACTAGTTTTGCCAGAAGAAAGCACACCCACCATACAGATGCCTACCTTAGAAGTCACTTAGGAGCTCTTCAACGTTCATGCTGTGTATGCACATTCAACGTCTTATACACCTACAGCTAAGTAATAAAAACTTCCTAAAAACACTTTAGTATAGCAATATCCTCCTAACATAGATCTATTAGTATACTTGTTCATTTAAGCAGGTTAAAGAAGCTCTTCCATCTCTAATACTGTCTCCTCCAAGAAGAGATTTATTTGCTAAAACAAGTTCCCTTTGAATAGTCTCTTTTGATAAGCTAAACTTTCCTTCAAACAAGAAATTATTTTCAAAGAAGTTTCAATAATTCATACCAATTTTAAAACACATTTTTTCAAGTATGGCCCAATTGGGGTGACTGTCAGATGTATTTAATACGAAATATTTTATACAAGCAGTGCTGACTGTTAATGACAGGAATCTGTGCTGGAATTCATGCTGTTCAACATATTCATAAGTGACCTGCAAATGGGAATGAACAATGGAGCAAAAATCTGAGGATATTAACTAATTGAGGGGAGCAAAGAGAACAGCTGATACAGGGATTCACAAGACAGACTGTCTGGACAATATGACAGAAGATGAAATATCTACAGGCAGTGATATGTGCAGAGGGAAAAAAAAGTCCTGACTTTCCATATAAAAAAAAAAGATTAAAAAATGCCAGTAAAAGCAGTATCTTGGGCTTACAATAAACAGCTCCTGAAAACAACTTGCTGTTTTGACTGCTACTAAGTTTTGAAGTAATTATCAAGCAGAACACAAAAAACTTCCTGAAGTCACTGTATCATCTAACATGGGCTTTTATTGTGAATTCTGCATGCCGTCTGGGTGCATTCTCTTCCCCTAAAAAAGGATACAGAACTGAAACACTGTCAGTGACACCTGTACAAGGTATAAGCAAGGAATCCAAGGAAAAGAGGTAACTGCAGATTTAGTATGAAGATAAAGAGATGATTACTGAAGTCCATAAAGTCAGCAGTAGCCTCAAGAATCTGCTTTTAGGACAAGGTAGCGTTTAGCTAGTTGTCACAGTTTGACTCAGGATCAACAATGCTCTCGATCCCCTCCCCACCCAGGTAGGAAAGGAGAGACAGAATAAGAGAGAGACTCTCTGCATTAAAAACTAAACTACACAGCTTTAATTAAACACTAATGATAAAAGAAAATATATACAATTATATACAAATGTGTTCAGAAATGTGCAAACCCCTATTGCCTCCCCTCACCCCCAGCAACTCCCACAGCATCTCCTGAGATGGGAACAGTCCCGAGAAGTCCCAGAGCTGCTGGAAAGAGAAAGAGAGTGATGAGGGTCAGGAGAGCTCCAGCCTAGGGGTCGACAGTGACGGATGGACAGAGTCCTCCCCGGATGCCAGCCTCAGACAGAAGAGAAGGGAAAAAGAAGTAGGAAGGAAGTTGTCTTCTGTGATCTCTGAGCTTCCTCTGAGCTTACATAGATCTATGGAATGGAATGTCTCTGGTCAATTTTGCTGTCTGTCTAATTCAGTCTCCTACAGGGGGGTCATAGATCTCCCGGTAGCGTTTGAGCTGGCAGGGCACAGACATGACCTTGGAGTCCTGGAAATAGCGTAAACATTCCAGCATTATCAGTCCTAGCTTTCTGCTAGTTAAGACAGCTTACTGAAGGAAGGGGGGGGGGATAATAAAAAAAAATAAAAATAAAAAAAATCAGTAAAATCCTGGCTCAAACAAGGACACTAGTGAAGGTTGAAAGTGCCACATTCAAATCAAGCAGAATAATCTGGTACTGGAGAGCTGAGGAAAACCTTCTGAGCTGGGTGCTGTGGATGCAAAGAGTCTATATATGTTTAAAGAGAGGGTGCATGAGTTCATGGAAGTGCAATCCATTGATAGTCACTAATACAAAGGCAGCAACTCTGGCCCAGGAACCCTATGCAGAATTCTTGAGCTCTAACTATCCAGGTTCAGTAACTTTAAAACATCTACCCTTTTCAGCTCCACCTTAGTATCACTCTGAATTCATAATAGAACCAGGAAACAGTTCATTATATTAATATGTAGGGAGGTTTCTTCACAAAATAAACAAAAAACTTCCCAAGTTTAACTTTCTGAAGGCTGCTCGACACCTATATGCCTGTGAAGACCTGGTTACTTGTTCAGATTTACAGTTTCGTTGTGGCCATACACTAGTCTTAAAAAACCCCTTTTCTCTAGAATTCAGTATCTAGTCTTCATCTCATACTCACTATCACCAAAAACTGTTTCTGAGACTGAAAGAAAGCAAACAGACACATTTTTTTTTTACTTAATAGAACAAATACTTTTTTTTTTTTTTAGTTCTTAAATATTTCTTGCAGACTAAGTACAAATTTTAAACAACTGTTCCCAGTCTCTGAAGGAAAAGTGTTTTAAATTCTCCCACTACATGTTCATGTTGTGTAATAAACTATGGGGCTTAAGACCTAGCTTAGTTACCATTAATGTTTTCTGAAGTCTTCCGTCATGCCACAACAACACTGAACCCAGGTCCTGGAATCCTCAGGGATCCAGGAGTTAGAACCTTACGGGGCTTGTCAAGATATCTCAATTGCACAACATAAACAGAGAGGAAGTTACATCTCAGACATTATTAGAATGCTCACAGCAGCATTACAGTTGATGGTGGAGCACAATATAGGAAGATACCTGGAACAATTCTTACCAGGCATGTATCTCATCACCGCAGAATGTATGGTCCCTATTGCTACATAAATTAATCAGGCATCATCAGAAAAAACAGGACCTTGTTTCCCCTCAGACTTCCAGCTAAGGATGCTCTTCAGACTTATGCATTGTTCATTACAGATGCAGATAAAGAAAAAGGTGTATTTTATGCACATCTAATGAGAAAGCCCATAGGAAAGAAACAAAATTCTGCTTTCAATAATCATTAAACCTACCAACACTTCTTCAGCAAAAAAAACCCACCTAAATAGCAGCATAAAGTCAAAACCACTACAAAAGCAACCATCAACAATAAGCACTAACAAAACTGCTGTCACCTAGGCTAAAAGCAAAGAGGTTGCATGATACCAGAAGCCTGCCCAGAGGACAATTTTGAACATGCTTCAAGTAAATGGCAGTGACCTCCGGTAGTCATACAGACAAAGCCTTTTTGAACCTATGCAAACAACACTGAAGAGAAGATTAGCAGAAAAGATCCAGCATTTTATGATTTTAACCTTGACCAGAATCAAACCAATCCTGAATTCAAAGTTCATTCTTTTAAAGAAGGATAAAGACAACTTAAAAGACTAATTGGCAGGACAGCTGTATACAAATAGTGCAAATATGCATAAAAATTCTGGAGTCCTGAATTTATGCCAGTCTTCTGCTTTGTAAATACAAATAAACTAAGTAAAGTATTTCCAGCAATTGTTCATATCCTCTATGTTCCAATTTAATAAACTGTCTTTTCAGCTTTTAAATCAGACTTTCCAGGACAACATATTCACCAAGACTTGGCTTATATGTTCTCTGTCAGTCTCTCAGTAACAAACAAAAGCAGTTCGCACATGAGTTGGGAAAGGATCTTACCTTTATGAATCTCCTTGCTTTGGGGTGGGGGAAAAGGTAAACACAAAAACCCAAACAAAAAACTCTTTTCAAACCATTTAAAATAAGCACAATACCAAGTGTCATGGATTTCTTCTGACACCTACACACTAAATCAACTGAATAATGAAAAAGCCAAAGGAATGAAGATTCTAAAAAGTCTACTTAACACTGATTAGCTTAACACAAGCTACTGATTGGTTAGACTGCTTACACATCCACATAAAAGTGATTTAAGATCCTTGAATATTTAAGACTACACCTAACGCTCTTGTAAATTCTGAAGACATCATAAGGCTAGTAAACAAAGACATACGTGTAGTTTCAGATGTTAGTAATGCACAAAACTTTTGTAAGTCAGAGATCCTAGACACTTACATGGCTCAGAATTTCCAACAGATGTAATTTTTGTGATTATGACATTAAATTAACCATACCTTCTATATAGAGTGTTCTACAGGTGTACAACATGATATATTAGTGTTTGTCAATCGAAATGAGCTACAAATAAGGTAATTGTTCACTCACCTAAATATGGAATAGTAGGGACCATTTTTAAGCTCCTTATGTACTCTCGTGTCCTTTTATAATTATCTTCCTTAGACAGTAAATAGTCTAACTTCTCAAAGGTGGTCTTGTCTTTGCGATTCAAAAGCTACAAAGAAAAAAAATGGAGATAATAAAATTTTACAAGACATACACACAAAGACAAGAACAAATTATAACTTGTTGAAAAACCCACAGTAAAGAGAAGCATAGTCAAATTAAGATTAAATTCATCATCACCCAAACCAGCATATTTGAAAATGTGCTACCTGTTAAGGAAAAAAAAAAAGAATGAAATTAAAATTAATGAAAAATGCCAGCTTTGGGAGTTGGAGATAGAGGTTTAAGCCCTTTTTTTTCTGATCTTTGGTTCAGGAAAACTCTAAGAAGGGGTATAGTCTTCATTCTTTGGTTTACAAGACGAATGTTTTTATAAACTATTAGAGTACTTTAGTAGTTGAGTATCTTGTTCTCTAGGGCTCCGATAAGGGGGAAGAGGATCAGGAGGATAGTGAAGTAGGTGAGGGAGGCTAGTTGGCTGATGATGATGAATGGGTGTTCTACTGGTTGGCTTCCTACTCAGGTTGGGATCAATAGATTGGCTACTAGGGTTCAGAATAGGATCTGTGATAGGGGTCGGAATGATATTGTGCGTTGCTTAGATTTGTGGAGGAATGGGGTTAGGAATAGGATTAGTACGGAAGCAGTGAGGGCTAGTACTCCTCCAAGTTTGTTGGGGATTGAGCGTAGAATGGCGTACACGAATAAGAAGTACCATTCTGGTTTGATATGGGATGGTGTTACTAGGGGATTGGCTGAGGTGAAGTTTTCGGGGTCCCCTAATAGGTTGGGGGAGAATAGGGCTAAGGTTAGTAGTGGGGTGAGTATGATGATGAATCCTAGGAGGTCTTTTGTGGAGAAGTAAGGGTGGAATGGGATTTTGTCGCAGTTTGATACAATTCCTAGGGGGTTGCTGGATCCTGATTCTTAAGTCCTAAGCTATGAACAAATATGATTATTATTTCTGAACAGTTTATCAAGGATCCACATATCACTACCTCAGAGTTTGGGATAATTTCAGCAAAATTAATTTTTTAGAGGAAAAATATACATTACTAAGCAGCCACCAACATTCTTGCAGTTCCTCAGAATTGCTAAAAATCATCTTGCCTTTGAAAGTAGAAATAGCAATCAAAAATGCTCTAACTAAATGCAAATTGTGACATTCAACAGTGCCTTATCAAAAGTATGACTGAACTTTTTGCAAAAAATTCCAAAGACAGTAAATCACTATGACACTTAAATATGTTTTCTGTTACTGGACTTAACACAACATCATAGAAAATATTTATCAATGTGAAAGATCCTAAAGTCACAGAAGATTGAAAAGTAAACACAAAATACACAACTGTAGCTATAAAAACACATTCTTTGTTTCAGCTGTTTTTAGAAACACCAGCAATAATTTAAAGATGACATCAAAAGCCAACAGAGTCTGAGTGGAGAACCACAGCTCTGTACGCTGGCTTCCCGCAGTTGTGCTGTATGACAACAGCCAGCTGTCCCATAGAGCATTTCTTCAGACAGTTCTTCCCGTGGAAAATTCCAACCCTTTCAGCTCCGAGCTCATAAGCCTGGCTGTTCCGCTGAGAGAGAACTGTGAGCCTGCTTGCAGCAGAAATACTGCAATGGATGCACATGAGTTAGCTGTTGCCTTCAGTCTTGCTCAGAACAGGATGAGCTTGACAGGAATCACCAGTAAAACTGCCTTAAAAACCTGACCCCAAGGCTCTGCAGCGCTGGAGCACAGAACATCGCAGCTATACAACAGCTGTTAATAGACAGTAACTTAAAAGATACAAGACGTAAAAAAATTCAGAATAATTTTTCTGTTTTCTTCCTAAGCAGCACTGAGAATTCCTTGAGGCCCTAACTCTGCACTGTATTGTATCGTTGAACTCCTGTGCCTACAGAGAGCTTGACACCTCTTTAGGTCTAAGTCCTGCAATTAATTGTTCACACAGTTTCACATGTGAGCTGTTTTCCCTATTTGAGTTCCAACTTCATTGAGCTGCTCAAAAAAGCAGGCATTATTTTTACATTTTTATTAGACTCTAGCCTCATTCTGAACAATAAAACCACAAAAAAGTTACAGGCATTTTAAAGACATAATAAACTTAGGAAGAAGAGTTAAGTACAGCCACCTTTATCAGTTCTGAACAGTTAATATGATCCACATTGGGTGGAATACTAGATTAATGAGAATTACTTAATCCTTTGTGTATTTAATGATTATAGAGCAGGACTAAATTCTAACTGTGTATTCGACTTTAAAGATAAACAGCAAAGCTCACACTACACTTAAATGAGAAATTTTTCCCTCAACAGACCAAATTTCTGAAAATGGGACTATCGTCACTTAATTTCTAAAATAAATGAAAACTGAAATGCACTGTACAATTATCATAAAATTAACACTTCTATATTTGTAATAGGTCTTTTGTTCTTCCTTTCCTTTTAGGCAATGTATTAATGACATACTCAATTATTAGGATAATGGGACACTGATACATGCTCTATATGAATGTCTTCTAAGATTACTTATCAACTAAAGTCCTCTTGAGCACATAATCAGTGGCTTCTAGAACAGATAGAAAACTCTTACAGGAAAAGAGGCAACGTAAAAATATGCAGCCATTTAAGCTCTGCTTTCACGAAACATGCAACAGACCACTACTGGTACCACAACAACAAAAGTGTAAAGAACCTTCTTCCAGAGCATGCAATTTGAAAATTCAGAGTTCTCTCAATTTAAACCAGATAGAAAAGACAATAGTCAAGGAGCCACTTACAGCCCAGGTTTTGGTCAGTCTGAAGATGGGTGCACTTTGCAGCGCTGACACCACAGACATGAGAGAATGAAGGTTATTCAGTTCTAGAAGCTTCTAAAAAGAAAACAGTAACTTTTAGCACATTGAAAAGAGAAGCACGATTAATTAATCTCAAAGTTGCATTAATAAAAATTTTTTTTTTAATGCAATACAAAGTTTTTTTCAATGACTGCTGATAACATTACCTAATGCTGTCAATGTGCAAAATTCTTAAGACCACTTCAAAAGTTGCAAATTTTCCAAATATACCCCGCAAAACAATAGGCATTTCAGTTGTGAGAATACAAACTATGCTTAATTTTAATTTGTTATTTTCTAAGGCTCTTCCTTCAGGAGCAGAAAATATGAAAAAATTAATGGATGCATTGTTCTTGAAAATTAGTGTAATTTTTGAAATTAAAAATTTAATCAAGCCAAAAAGACCAACCAAAGATGCTTCTGACCCTTTCAGAATTAATACAATGTTTTATTTTGTAATCTGCTTTAGAGGACAAATTTTCCTCACTTCAACATACTTTAAATTCACTCTGTGTTGACAATTGCTCAGAACACATTCATCTCTCTTAAGAGATAATTCTTTGGAGTAAAGCTCTGCTCTATCCTAGAACATAGCTTCAGAAAGACAAAAAAATTAGAACTGCTGTTATGTTCTTCATGTATCTTAAAAGAAGCTGGATTCATCCTTTAGCGATTGATTTACTCATTGCTCAGGCACATTTGAGGAAGATCTGGATTTTTTTGAGAGAAAAGAAGAAAAAAAAAAAAAGATAAAAAGAGGGGAGTGTTTTGCTTTTTGAAAGAGAGGAAGAAAACAAACTCTCTTATTTCTAAGAACAACCTAGCACCTGGAAGTTGACTACTCCCCAAGTACTTGGACTATGCATTTGTGCCAGGAACTTATTCAGATACATTCTCTTCTGCACAAGCACAAGACTGCGAAGTAAACCTACTGGCAATATGCACAATGCAAAAAGAGTAACAATAGACCTCATACCTTTGTCTTATTCATGTGGTACAACATAGCAGATATGCTAAAAAAGAACATTACCCTCTGTAATCCAACAACGGTTCACAGGAGTAGTGCAGAAACAAACAAAAAGGAAGTAAGATTTTGAATGACAGTACAATAAATTTGCACTTACTTTAGCTATTTTCACAAAATGGCTCAATATTTCTGCCCTTATTTTTAAGGTCTGTGCTGTTAATATTTCTCGTACAACCCAAAAACTGACCTATAAAGTAAACACATATAACTGAATTTATTTACAAAAAAAGACTTTATTAGATCAAATATTTGTACACTTTTATGATGCTTCCCAGGGAGAAAACAGGGTAAGGAAAGAAAAGAGTTCCAATCCCACGAATTCCCATCTGTATAGCTGCAACTACCCAAAAAAATTACCACTGGATATAATGAGGCAACACTAAGATTATTAAGCAGGTGAAACACAGAGAAAAGAGGTGAAGAATTGTTAATGTTATACCATGACCTATCAGCAAAAAAATTTAGAAACTAGTAGTTAGGAAAATATGGTCTAGAGGAACAACATGAAAATGTGGACAAAGCAACTGAAAACAGGAATTGCCATTATAAAATCCTCATCTTAATTTAGAAAGATATTCTTAAGTACCTGGTCATCACAGTAATCAAATAATTTACCTGGTTAAACCTCCTAGTAAAGGCAACAATATTTGGAGCGAGGATGTGTTTTTCTTTCTTATTCCATCCACAGCTTGCTAGTTCCTAAGAAACACATTTTAAAATTTAGAAGCATTTGAAGAATACAAATTTGGAACTGTAATATTACTGTATACAGTAATTGTACACTAATTTTAAAAAACTTGAAATATCTGTAGGTGATATTCAGATTAAAATAATCTATAATTTGAAAAAGGCTGGACAGTAACAGTGCTAAGACTGAATGTTTTCTGGTCAGAGAGTTGGGGTTAGAACTCTTGTTTGATTTTAATTTCATTATGGTGGCCGCTTCAAAATAACAACAAAAATTTAAAATTCTGTAGTAAATCCATAACCAGAACGAATACATTTCAATGCATAATAAAATCTCAGTGCTCTATGGCAAAAAAAATTACCTAAACTGCAAAATTACTAGTAGAAATTCCTGTGGGAAGTATAAGGTAAACAGAAGAGCTAAAAAGCAGATTAATAGCTTTCTCTCTAAATAAAACTGTATTAAATTATACATCAAAACAAATTTGAAATTATAGCTACAAATTTGATTTAGCCAGAAAGAAAGTGTCCACTTCCCAATAGTTATTTCAGACAGTTCCAAATATTTTTAGACAGCCTGGCTCTTTTTAACTACAGATTCAAGTTACCACATATCTGTAACAGTCTTTGTGTTCAGATCTGACAAGTAGTAGGTATATACATACTGAAAATGAGTTCTCCATAACACCAGTTCTAAATCAGTCTTCTGCTTTTAGAACCCCAAATTGCAGTTTCAAACAAAATGGTGTTCAACTTTCCAAATGCAGAATATTAACTTTAGAGAACCTTCACATGAAAAGGCAGAGTCAGCCAAACACACTTTCAAGATGTTCTGCATGTTCCTTTGTGAGCACCAGGAAAAGCACTTCCAGTTCCAAACATTTTGTATCTCAACCATCCAGCATTTAAGCCTTCTGCCGACAAAAATGCCCATTTGCTTCTGTCAAGACACAGATTCTCCACAGAATTGCTGCACGTCTGGTCTTAAAAGTCTGGAAATTACATGTTTATGTGGAAAAAATCTCAGTCACTATACTAGGGAGAGCAAAATTTACTTTGTCAGAAAAGGGGAAGAGTTCAGTAACCTACGGACATTAAGCAGTTGCCAGAAGGCTAGGGAAATGGAAAACAATGGAAAATCTTGTGCATGGTAAAATCATTTGTCTAGGTTTAAAATTCGAGCTGAAGAGGACGGCTGATAAAAGTAAATTATCAAAATGCCCCTGTTGAATTATTTTAAGCTGCTAAAATCTACCAAGTTCTAGTATCACACTTCATTTTTTTGTATGGCAGGATGCATGCAATTTCCTCAATGCACAAGCAACTTTCCAATCAAGTATGTAAGAAAACCCTGAAGTTCACGGAGACTGCAATTTCCTGGACTTTAAAAAAAAAACCAAAAAAACAACGACTAAACAACGTTACACAGAAATCCAGAATGTAAACACAGTAACCATTGCTGAAGAGCAAAGAATTGTTAATCACACGTCTGCTTCAGAACCCTTGCCAAGTAACACGCAGATGTGTTTTTTAGTAATAGCTCAATCAAAAAGCAGAAAAAGAAGTCTCAGGAAGTCCTTGGTTTAAAGGATTTTTGTGCGTCTGAGATAAGACTTGGAAACCAGAACTCTAAAATGTTGAGTCTTTCCATCCATACTTAAGCTCATGTTGAAGACTAAAACCTGAAGAAAAAAAAAAATATAACACTCTTCCAAGGATGTAAACGGATAGTATAAGAAAACCCACCTCAGGCTGTATAGCTTTAAATACTGGCATATCCATCAATGTAATCTGGCTCTGCAATAAAGATACAATTTAAAATAATGTAGTACAGAGAACCATCATGTATTTACATCTGCCCTTTAGTAAATAGAAGTCCCAGCATTGTGTTTTCTCCACAGACCAGAACTGTCCAGCCTGGACAGGGCCTCCCCTGTCCATGCCAACAGACCACCAGCACAAGCTCCACTGTGCTGAGGGGCAACAAGTCCTTGTGTTCTCTCACGCTTCCTCACCTTCTCCTACAGGAAGGTCTTCAGTACCTGCAGCACTCCAAGTTCTGAGATCAAAACAAAGTAATTTTTTCCTGGTGTAGGCCATACACTACATTCTGTGCTGTCTTTGGACTTAACATCCAGTCTCCTCTGGTGAAATTAGACACCTGTTTCTGTGTGATTTCATAGGCCTGTCTAAACGGTAGTTCTCTCCATTTCTGAAGGCAGTCCTTAGCTGTGGATCATCTGAGCTTCCATGAATAGCAGGGAAAGCATCAGGACATTTTTTACCTGAGTTGATACAGAATTGCCAACCAAGTATTTTTATATTTTTACCTAACAGCTCTCATCTGTGTATCCTGTATTAGTGTTTTAAAAGACTCATCAGAATTTGTTCCAAAGTGACAAACTTACAGGAACAACGTAGTCCTATCTCCAGGACTTTTTTGTGACTGCATATTAAGCAATCCTTCCAAAGGAAGAAAACATCGTTTTGAAACCCTGAATACTAATGAAAACAATGAACTATGCTCAACAACTCTCATCCTCACTCCTTCCTGATTCCCAACAACTTGACATATAAATTAAAAACAAAGGATCAAGCCCAATAACTGAACTTCTGCCAAAACTGCAGTTCTGCTTTCAGTTTAGTACTAAAAACTTATTATTAAGGGATACAAATTACTTCCTCCCTACAAGTCTCTTCCCTGCTTTTAAAAAACTGATTTTTTTGACAAACTAATATTCCAGCAGAAAGATGAACACTTGTGGTTTCAATTAAATTTAAAAAAAAGTAATAAGACTGTGGTTAACAAACATCTGGGCCTTCTACAACACCAGAAAAAATTCAAATGGCTTTACACAGAATAAAAAAATGCTACATCAGGTAAGTACTGAATGATTAAAACCCAAGACATGTTTATTTTGTTAAAGTTTACATAATCAGAAGTTTGTTTTCAAGAACACTGAAAGTTCATTTAAAACATTTTATTTAAGAAAGACTTCTAATATCCTCCAGGCCCTTAACAAGCTTAAATGCAAAAAAGTAACATTTCTACTTACAGCAAACTCCTCAGGAGTTACTTTCAACACATCAAATACAACTGCATCGTAGCTTTTAGTGGCATAATCTGAACTTCGCCCTTCCAGAGAATCTGAGCTGCTACTACCCTACAAAGAAAAAATAGTAGACTTACCTGCAGAATCATAAATTTTAGGTCAAATGCAGAAAACAAATACATGTGAAAATATTAAGAAATAGTAGGTTTTGGAAACAGCACAACAAAGCTGCCTTGTCTCCAAGGGATACAAAAGGTTAAAACAAACAAAATCTTCCAGAGCACTTTCTTACTAGTAGACTAGCACATTAAAAAAAATAAACTGGAATATTTCAGATTGTATGTTCCATTGCTCTTAACTCATCAATAATAAACTGCTGAAACTTACAGAGCTACAGGTCAAACACTATTTAAAACTAATATAAATGAGCAATCACCTTCAACAAGAATAAAAAAAATAGGTTGTGAACACTCAGAACCATGGAGTGTTCTACAATTACTCTGTTTTCAAATATTACACCATTTGTAAGAGAAATGACTGATGTGACTTGTAGTGAAAATGGCTTCTGTGAAGTTGAAACAAGCCAAAATTTCCATTTTGGTACAGGAGCTAACAAAAAACAAAGAACTGTACCTCTGGTGTGGCAGAGGTGACCATCACACTGGCCATGAGCTCATTCCTCTTATACATGCTCTCCCCCAGGATGTAGGAAGTTTCAGTTCATCCAGTATTGCTGAGACAACATGATGAAAATAAAATTCCTGTAAAGCAAATGTATTCATGCAAATAAATAAACAAGATTTAAAATCCCAACAACACAAGGAATTTCATTGTTCTTTCTGAGAGAATTTCAGAAGCAGGATAATCTTAGGAGCTAGATTCTCTTTCAGCCTTAATGAAGTTTCAGTGTTCAACGTGATCCATTGCTAGCACTCTTCATAGGTCTTATTCCAGGACTGGCCTCTAGGTAAGCAATGCTTTGCAAGATTCAGATGTGAGAATCCTAATGGAACCTTAAGTGACAGCTTGTTAAAGTAGGCATAAAAAAAGCTAACACTGTTGAGACCCACAAAATTGCACAGAAGAGGCTGCTGAAACCAAACAT